GCCCCGTGGAGGGTCCTCTTTTTTTATTTGTTAGATATGGTAACCCTACCTAACTTTTATAGATGTACCTTTGCTGAAACCTAAGAAATTACACTGATATAAATGAGATAAAAATCTAACTCTAAAGCTAGAAATCTCTATATTTTGTTTGATTTCACTTTTGGAAATATTCCAGGTTTGTCTTATATTTTGTTTAATTTATGGTACTTAGTGGATTCTTATTTCAGTCCACTGTTGGCTGTGTTTTTATGCTCCTTCCTCTATAAACTAGTGTAGTGCAGGTCACTAACAAATCTAGTAAACAGTATTCTATTTCATTCTCAACATGGACTCTGGACTCATGGACTCTATATAAACTATCATTGTGGCTTTCTACAGCGTTTATACCCCTTTTTATGGAGCATACAACTTCCATTAAAGTCAATTGAGCTTTTACACAGAAGAGCTGTGGATTAATTAAAACAGTTAAACTGCAGTTTAATTTAGGGATTGTCATTGTAAAAGTGGTTAATTATGGATAAGTAAAGCATATATGAGGACAAGAAAAATCTTCCCTATCTTATTTAAAAATGCTCTGTATTATCCCAGAATTTTAACTCCATCTGCCTCCTTTCAGAGCAATTCAGTTCTACACATATGCAATTAACTTTTGTCATCTTTTTTAGTTCTAAGTTTTGCATTAGAAAGAAAAAAATATATTTTAAATACAGTAAACCTGGTTTATCCAACCCCCTTAGTAAGTGAAATTCATCCCTTATTCAAATCTATCATTTGCTCATTGGCATAATTAGTTTATTCAGTAATCCCCCAATTATCAGTGCTTATGTCAGATGATTAGGTGATAGAAATATTGAAAATTTTCTTAATTGAGTTAAGACCGATATCTGGAGATTCTAGATAATTTCTAAAAAAAAATTGAGGAAAATATTGTATGAGTTATAATCGAGGGTTCTTATAACTGAAGTGCCATATTTGAACATTTGTTATAATCATGCTGTATACTGTGGTATGAGTGACAGAAACCCTCGAAGTAACATTCATAACTAGTGGGTGGTAACTGGTTCTATTTAGAAACCTTTTCCATTTACCAGACTTTTACAACATTTCTATGCTTGGATAATTTTAAACACTACTTTGACTCTTTTTGGAACTTCTCCCAACTATGTACATCTCAATATTTTGTCTTCTAGGACATACAGGACGGTTATTAAAATCCTTGTGTTTCATCAGTCTATCATTCCTGCTACTGCACATCATCTTCCAAATCACAATAAACAGCCTTGAAGCTGGAAACAATATTGAACCTGGTTTTAACTGTGAGTATCCTTTCTATCTTTGTTGTATTAACATAAAGAATGTAAGAATGCTTCGCTGGTATAAAAGAGAGGGGGGCTGATGGCTGGACTTTTTTACCAGTAAGGCTCTACCCAACTTTGTTAACCTTTGGCGTGCTGCAAGGCCCATCTTTTCCTTATGGGTCAAAGGGAGGTGGGAGGGGTTTATTATCAAATGTTTGTAATACTTATATTGCTGTCAGGGTAGTGTTCTCAGTGGGTCCATTATGTATTGTGCTACATGTGAATTTTATTTTTGAGAGTTAGACTGATTACCGCTATCGTATTATGCTTTCTATGAAATTTTGTTGCACTTGCTAATTTAAGTAACTTTAAACCTTGAATCCAAACCTTGGATTCAAGGTTTACAACCCTAAATAACATGCTACTTTCTTCTTCTCCAATATTATATAGGAAATAGCATTTTTAATATTTTCTTTTTGCGGTAACATTAATTAAAATAAATGATGTAACCTACTGTCTCTTCCTCTTTCAGAAAATATTCTTCAATAATTCAAATGTGAACACTGTTGTACAAATGTTGATTATCCAAAGATTTGAAATAAGATAAATGTAAACTCCAGATAGACTATTTATATTTGTCTTACAGTGCTTATGTTTGACATTTATAACTGGCAAGTTATCTTTGATAAATGCCCATTTAATTTATCATAGAGTGTGCTACTACCACTTTAATAAACAGTAGTACTACAATTAAATACAAGACACCAGTAAAGCTGAGCATCTGACCTAAAACAAAGAAAGCCCCAGGAAACTCAGAATTAATGCTAACACTTCATCCTTCAGTCATACTATTTTTTAAAGAAAAGATACAATTGTGCACATCAACTGACAGTTTTAACTCTGACTTATAGGGCTTTTGTCAGATCTTTAAGGTTCTTGAAAGAAATTTTTGCATTTTCAAAATATAAAATGCATATAATTGATCCAGTGCATTAGATAAGTTCCTTTGCTATTTCTATTTCTTTGATAATTATTATGGCTATTATAATTTATATGATCTATTATGGTAGCATTCACCATGCTCTAGGGACTTTCCATATATGTAGATAAATAATTCCTGCCCCCACAATCTTTATAATCTTCATGGACAAGCAAAAAAGAGGGTGGGAGGAGAGAGAGAAAACGTACAGTCTTTTTTTTTTTTTCTATAATTAGTATCAACTATGCCCAAATGGCCCTCAACCTAATGCCTTATTAGATTACTAGTTTCTTGCATATGTCGTAGTATAAGTAAGTATTGGTGAGAGATTAGGAGGAGGGCCTGGTATTGGTTTTATGGACTAATTCAGGCAGGATATTTCATTTAGAAAGGGGCATGGTAGTAAGTGCAAAGATGGTTGTGGCTGAAATGGATAAACGAGACTGTCAAGGCTGATAGTGTGGAGGAGATGGACATAAAAGAAATACTAAATATTATTTATTATTAAATAATGGCATCATAATATGCATGGTACTTAACAGAGAATAGTCATTTTGGGGCACTATCGTGGATCCTTAATCATACTTAAGCATGTAGCCCCATTGCAGTCATACAGTAGGGAATACTTATGCAAGTAAGACTTTGCAAGATTGTGCATGGCTAGGGTGACCAGATGTCCCAATTGGAAAGGGATAGTCCTGTATTTAAGCCCTCCTGCAGGTGTCCTGACTTTTTCTTAAAAATGTGCAAATTGTCCTGTATTTTTTGCATCTCCCCCATCAGTACTGGGTGGTCCTGCTACTGGTTGGATCCCTGCTTGCCAGCTGCCCACCCACTGGCGGTGAGTGGGGTATCCAGTGGGCAGCGAAGGGGGGGGGGGGGGTATGTGAGGCTGGTGGCGGGGTGAAGCTGCAGCATGGCGGGCCGGGCCGCTCTCCCTACCAGTCCGTCAGCACAGCCCCCACTCTGTGCCGGGTCTTGGCCAGCAGAACCCCGCCCCCCCCCCATCCCGTTCCCAGACGGTGCTGGCTGCAAGCTGCAGTGGCCAGTGAGTGCGGGTAGGCACCTGGCGGCGGCCGGTTACATGTTGCCTCTGCTGCCCACCCATCGGCCCTTTTACTTGTTCTCCCTCTCGCTGTCCTCTCCCTGCTTTGCCCCTTCACCCCCCTCAGCTGTGCGGAGAACCAGCCCCTGGTCGGAGCACTCAGCTCACCAGCAGCCTGGCTGGCAGGCTCCTTCCTTCCCTCACTGCCTCTGGCTGGGCCAGCGCCCTGGGAAAGCCCAAGACCCTCCGGCTCAGGGTGCTGGCCAGGAGGAGCCAAGCCCTGCGTGTTCCAAAGTCTCGCAAAGCACTGGCATGGGGCATCCTCTCCACCCCTCAGCTAAGCTCTGGAGTGGCTGAGGGGAGGTGGAGGAGCGATTTCCAGCCTATTCCTGCCCCTAACCTACAGGCAGTGGGGATGGGGGGAAGGGATGAGCTCTGCAAAGACATGGGCCAGGTCATCCCTCCCCCTCCCCCACCCCTCCACCCCCATAGCTGGAAGCAGTTCCCATCCCTTCTGTACTGCACAGTGTTGAAATGGTGCTGCTGGCCACATTCTTGTGTGAACCCTGGCAGAAATCTGGGTAGGGGCATGTGACTTCGCTTACACTCCCCCCTCCCCTCCACACACACACATGCATTGCCTCGGGAAGATGCGGCGCCAGGTACCAGAGAGGCAGGTTCATCCCGGTGGCCCAGCTAGGCATGGAGGGTGGACAGTGTAGGGCAGGGAGGGTCGGGTTGGTTGGTCACCCACCCTGTGTGACAAAGGGGTATGGGTGTGTGTGTGTGTGTGTGTGTGTGTGTGTGTGTGTGTGCCACCTCTCCCCTTGTGAACCCTAAAGCCTTAAAGCTAAGAAGGTAAATAAAAAGAATCCAGTTACACAATATTTCTTTTTAATGGGGGCTCAGTCAACTTGATGTTAATTTGAACGTTTGTACTGCATAGTTCTGATTGATTGCCGTTTAACTCGCTTGAATATGAGTAATTTTACCAAGTGTCCTGTATTCAGCATAGGGAGATATGCCACCCTATGCATGGCAGTATGTTAAAATAGAACTTGATGAGCCATGACAACACTGGCAACAGAGCACCTGAACGATATTAACTGTGCCCTGTGGTTCTACTATGCAATTATAGTCAATGCATTTTAGAGCAAGCTGACTTTTAAAGACACATTCATTCCTCCCCCCTAATATTTTGCCCGTCACTAGAGAGCTTATTTAAGGTTGTGCAGGAGCCTTAGCATGTTTGGATTTCTTTTAAGTTTAACTCTGAATTTCTTGGATTTGTAATTATTTTGTGTAATTATAACTTTAATTAGTTATAACTGTTTTTATATATAATATTTTTACTCTTAAATTACTCTCAGCCTTAATTCTCTTGTAACACAGGTTTTCAGCATAGCATACCTTTAAGAAGCAGTGACAGTTGGGCCAAGTAACGTGCCTGGGAAGGCTTGACACATTTATTCACTCGAGTTTCTGATACCACTGACCCATTACAACCAATAGATCTGTAGCAGAATTGAATAGGAAGAACTAGCTACTTCAGTTTGCTGTAGAGCAGTGTTTCCCAAACTTGGGACGCCGCTTGTTTAAGGAAAGCCCCTGGCAGGCCAGGCCAGTTTGTTTACCTGCCGCGTCTGCAGATCCGGCCGATCGCGGCTCCCACTGGCCGCAGTTCGCTGCTCCAAGCCAATGGGAGCTGCTGGAAGCGGCGGCCAGTACATCCCTCGGCCCGCGCCACTTCCCGCAGCCCCCATTGGCCTGGAGCAGCGAACCGCGGCCAGTGGGAGCCGCGATCGGCCGAACCTGCAGACGTGGCAGGTAAACAAACCGGCCCGGCCTGCCAGGGGCTTTCCCTAAACAAGCGGCGTCCCCAGTTTGGGGAAACACTGCTGTAGAGGGAAAGCATTGGTTGGTTGTTGCCTCTGATGCCACAGTAGCTGCAGCTGAGAGTGACCTGAGCTGTTGACCTGTCAACATTTTATTGTAATAATGACAGTCAGAAACAAAAATAGCTAATAAGTTAGGATAATTACAACTAAATTTCTTCAAATGCAGTGCATGCCTGAGATTTCAATGAGTTCGATCTACATGGACACTTTCTGAGAGTCTGTGTAATTCTATTACTGAGATCATTCAGGACAAGAAAAGGTTTGGTACCCATGCTAAATTTCTGGAAGGACCCAATTTTAAAATTAATTTTAGCTCATAAACTGATGGATTTCCTGTAAATTCCCAGATAAATCATTGTGTACACGGTAATTTTGGGGAGGATACAATATATTCTTCATATAGAACAAAAAGGTTGGATCCCTGCTTTAGATGCAAAACTCAACTCAGCTTTCATTATGGATCCATGACTGGCATCTCCATAATATAAAGACTTCCGTTTAGTACTGCTTCAGTGTACAGGACCATAGGTGATATTCGCGTTTATTATTGCAAATTGCAATACTATTATTATTATTTATTTTATTTATTGGGCCAGCTACACAGGCACTCTGGCTCAGGGGAGGAGGTAGGAATGACTCCACCCCAGTTTAATTTAGCCCAAAAAAAGGCCTGTTTACCCTGGCTTTGAGCTGCTGGGAAGTGTGAATTTTACTCAGTTTGAATAAATTAGAGCAAATGTTGCCCTCATTTAAATATAGAGAAATAAGTAATGTTATTTATTGGCTATTTAAGGCAGGAGTTTTCAGGAGAGCATTTCCCATTAGGCTGAAAAAAGTGATACTAGGACAGGGGGAAGGAAAGGAGTGACAGCAGAAGAGGAAAGAAGAGAATGATAACACTGAATTATTTCAGTGTATAGTTTATTTGATAATTTTTAAGTATTCAGGTGTTCCTCAAAATGTGTAAATGACATGAAATTGCTTTCATGCTGTAGGAAAATGAAAACTAGGCCCCAGAACTCAATAGTTTGTACCTCAGAAATAAGTCTTAAGGTTCCATAGAATTCTTCAGGCCTCTTATATAATATTGAGAGCT